CCCCCCCCCCCCCCCCCCCATACACACGCATACATTTCTGACTTCAGAAACGCACACTGATGTCCATTAGCGGCAGCCCGTCTCCCTATCTATCTGTATGTATGCATCTATTTGGGAATTCATCTTTTTCCTACACACCTTCGGTTGTGATAACTATACATCCATTGCAGATAGATGGCCGGATAGATCCCGTGTTTCCCGTGTCTTTGTAGGGATGCCGTGAGCTGTCATGAATCAAACCACAAGCGGCACACTAGGGCACCATTACGTGAAATATATTGTGGCTCTGTGGTTACTTTACATTGTAATAGATGAATTGTGATAGGAAAGAATATTCCATTTGTATCCAAGTAGCATGAATGAGAAGGACGATGGAAAAGGGTTAGCAGATTGCAGTGAGAGGAAAAACTGTATAATTAAACATAGGTTTGATCAGGTTTCCGATCCTTTGCATGTGAGATTTGCAGTCTGTATGATGTCACTGGAATCCTGTCGTTCAGCATTTGAATCTAAATTTGGATTTTCTGAGCCAGTGGCCTGGGAATTCATAGGAGACACAGGCTTCTGTGGAGACATTGTTCCTCAAGTTCACCATCCCAGCATTTGCGGGGCGATTATGTGAAGTACGAGGAAGGAACTCGATCGATTCTACACAGAAAAACTGGGGGAGAAAAAAACAGCACGAGAAAAAAAAACACAAAGCTGAAGAAAATGAACTCCAGTGCATCTTTCCTCGCGATGGTAATGAAAATCGCACTTTCATCAATTGGAAATGGTTACGAATGATGCAATTACGGGCATCTCCCTTTAATACTGCTGCAAGCTGACAAATATCGCCATCAGAGTAATGAAAGTGGCCTCAAGTCATGCACCTTTAAGTGAGCCCCGGCGGCCAAGGTGAGCTCGAGTGTCGGGTTGTAGACCAATCTGCTCCATCGCATTTAAGGAGCTAAGATGCTGCTGGTGTAGCATCAGACTTAAGCACTTTCTATTGTTTAAGCACTCTTAAGAAAAGTTGGCCTATTATTGATATATCATCGCTGTACAATGAAAAACACGTATCTCCAAAATAGTTTCAGGAGTGTGAAAAAAGCATTTCCGCAGAAATTTACAAAATAAACCTAAAACAAAGTAATGAGGCACCTTTAGCAGCCCAATGGAAACCTGCCTTTACACAGCCATCAGCGAATGGTTTAATGTGGATCGTTGTGAGTGAACTTCCTGGGTTTCCTGATGTGTTCCAGTGCTGTATCGTTAGTTCGAACCTTGAACTCGGTAGGGTATCGGCAGCTAGTCTAAATATTTGGACGTAATCAGTGCCCTGTCCTACTGTACATTTACCATTGTATAAAACTCTTCTAATGAGACAGATAGGCAAGTTCGTAAAATATTTTGCGATATCAAACGCTATCAGTAGACAGGAGAATGGCCATATTCCATCTACAGTAAAAAGTCACAATCGTAAAAATTGGACATTTCACAGTGTCTCCCATGATAAAATATCCAACAGTCGTGAAACATGCCAGTACATATCCGTTACCTTTCTCTGTTTCCTGCAATGACACCATGTGACTGTCACCCTTTCAAAAATCCCCCTTTCATCCACCTTCCTTCTCTCTTTTAGGAATCAGGAAATGGTTTACAGGTTATGTTCTTGTCTGTGACCGGTGGCAACAGACGTGATTAATTGCATTTAAGTAGCATCACTGCAGTAGATTATTCAGTTATTACCTTGCTTACAGTGTGGTTAAGATAGCAGTCCTGTGTGTTCACCTCCCCTCTCTCTCTCTCTCTCTCCTGTAACAAGACACGTGAAACTTTAATGGGGTAATAGTCTCAGTCATTAAGCAGTGCAGCCCTGGCAGCATCGACTTCAGCAGGATTTCCTTTTTTTTTACCGTAATGTTCTCAGTATAGTGAAGTGGCCCTCCATGGACCCACAGGTGTGCCGTATTGTCCTCTCGGCGTGACGGATCTCTGAAAGAGCACGGCAGTCACCTGAGCCTGGGCTTCTGTGTAAAAAGCTGATTGTCGGGACATTATCGACTCACTTCCCTGTGTAATTCGCGGGGAAGGAAAAAAAAAAGATAAACTTTTATCTTGGCGAGACAGCGGAGGGGGTGGGTGAGAGTTCACTTTACCTTAAGCCCGAAACACTGAGAACATTAGCGGGGGGCTGCCGCCCTCCCCTGTTACAGTCAGCTCAGGCGGTCGTGTTTCTAATCTCTGGGGGGATGGGGGACTGACATTCGGCTCTGCGGTCGCGTGCCAGTTTTGCGAAGTGCCATTAGTCATTTCTGCTGATGACGTACCAAAGCTTTTTCCATCGGCCTTTATAGACTATTTGATATTCTTGCATTCACCGAGCGGCGTGCCAGCAAGGACGGCGGCGGCGGCGGCTCACGTGCGCCTGACGGGACGGGCCCCGGATGTGGCTCGCGACGCTCGAGGTGAAGGAGAGAGATACGCCGGGCCCCGCAGTCACACGGACGCAGCTCGCCAGATTGAGCTCAGATTACGCCTGCGACCCGCTGTTCAGCAAGAGGAGATCACACACGCCGGTGTATCCGCCGGAGCGACGCCCGTCACATGCGTGGCGGCGTGCAGAAATAATGTTTCTGTCCTTAGAACATGCCGGAAGGACAAGAATTAGTGCTGGGGGATCTGAACAACACGATTGCAGTCCTGATTTTTGTACACTCTGCGCTTATTGTTACATCTGGATGATCTGGTATGCATGTCAATAAAAGGCAAAAAACTGTTTTTTCCACTCTTAATGCATTGTGTGCTCATTTAATTTGTCATTTTTTCTCTGGCTTGTAAGTATTAAGTCACATACACATAAAGAGATGCTCAAACCTAAAATTTGAAACCCGTGAAGCCAAGAGTTAATCAGTATGTTAAGGTTAATCAGTATGTTTTTCACTCATAATCATGAAAAAATGACATGAACTGCAAAGACAAAACACTTGTCTATAGATGAAGTTTGATGTACAAGTTCTCGTAACAATAATCCTTTTTATATACCCTGAACGCCATTATTCACACGGTAGCAGCACGTCCGTGTTTGTTTGTGACAGACAGTGCATAACAAAGGGTAGCCTCCTGTCATTTTGACACGGGGCTCTCTGAGAAGCGACGTCAAACCCAGCCGTACTGGTGAGGAAAGCCAAGCGAACATGAGGCCCTCCCCCCCCCACCACCCGGCTCCGGAGCACGCCACGAATGGGCAGCCAGCATGGCAGAAAGAGGGAGCTGAAGCCGCAGAAGAAAAGGCGGGAGGAAAGGATTGGGGGGGACGAGGGGTTTATTTGTGCGTGTGAGCCTGCTGAAGGTACCGGAGGGTAATGAACAGTCCGCATGGAGGTCTGTCTCGTGCAGCGGCTCCCCACCCCAGGCCCATGTTCGTCCTCCACATGCCCTCCTGTGGCTCCCCCCTCCTTTCTCAGGGACACTCCTGCCCAACCCCTGCATCTCCCCAGCGCCCCTGACCCCCCAAGGCCAGTGGCACCACCCCACCCTCATATCCCTTTATACTGCCTTTGCTCTTTGTGTCCCACTCCAAATACACAGCACTTCCCCAAAATAAGAAACAGCAAATCCGGTGCTTCTCACTGCAAACGTGTTTACCATCCCATAATACAGCTTCCCAGATTTGTTCAACCCCTGGATTGCTTCTTTTTTTCCCTGTGTGGTATTTTCCTTTTTTTCCCCTTATCGTACAACAAAGCAGATTCCTTTCAGCCGCAAAGCTGAGAAACCTCCAGGTTGTGACAATGGTAAGCATCAAGGCGCTCTTCATTTCCTCTGTAAAACCAGGAGACTATGGTTCCACTAGTACCCTGCCTCGGTGCAGATTTCTGTCCGCGCTCTGCAGAAACTGCAAACTCAGATCACGGCTTGGTCTAAACTTGCATCTCAAAAGCCGTTTTTTCAAAATTTACTTTAGAAAAAGATCGCAGAATACTTTGCATCTATTATCAATCTGCAGCGTATGTAAAGTTGACGCCAGCTTTATGAGCTTATTGACGCCGGGACTGCGTGATTTGGGTCAGAAGCCCGGAAATAGCACTCAGGTGGGAAAAGGAAGAGGCACAGCATCGTATCCGTGGAAATGCATCCCTCCCAAAGCCAGGTGAAGAGGGGACGAGGCAGCTGAAGACAGCACCGGTGGGAAGGCTGGGCACACACACACACACACAAACACACACACACACACAAACACGAAGAGTAAGGGTGACGTGTTTCTATGCTATGTGGGAAGAAAACCAGCATTGTATAACCAATAAAAAAACTAAACACTGCTTTTCTAACCAGCCGATAAAAAGAAAACTTTCTACACATTTTTTCACCTAACACCTAAATTCTAAATGAGCAATATTTTACAGCTACTAATTTTTTCCACATTAATATTCATAAGGAGAAACAGATTAAAACTTCACCCGCCATAGTACACAATAAACACAAACAGCCAAACAGAAGAAAACAATTACATCTGTTTTTTTACACAATGGTACAGCAGTGGGTTGCAAGTGTGAACTAATTGGATGAAAAATTAAAAGGTTGAAAAGAGGTGCCCAATTACAGCGCTCTAATAACCCTGCTTCTCAGCTGTCTGCTTATACTCTGTTGTACTGTAAGCGTCTGCAATTAGAAGCCAGTTCCACTCTGTCGTTAGCCAGCAACACACATACCGCTCAGGTTAAACTGCACCGGAATCAGGCCGGCTACACACTGTTTGTTTTGGATTCAATTGCATCTCATTTACACGTGTTAATTGCAGCTAATTGGTTCTAATTAGATGAACAGGAAACCCTCTGGGACCATTCATACCTTTAATTTGTAGTAAATATCATTAATTAACATATGCTAATTAAAGCCAATTAACATTGATTAAGAGATGCCAGCTACAGGAAAAGTACAACTATCAAAATTCGATCAAGTCAGCAGAAAAACACGACACATGCTGCAACGGGGCTCGCAGGAAGCGGGCGCAGATATCGCGTGGCAGCTGCCCCGTGCGGCTGGCCCGCCGTCTCGCTTCTCTCGCTCCGGAGGGCTTCGGGAACCGCGTACTCCACGCCCCCCCGGGCTGGCGCAGCTCTGCCCGGCCCACGCTGGCAGTGCCCAACGGCACACCTGCGCAGGAAGTGCCCCCGCAGGCAGAGGGCATCTGTGCGCCGGCGAGAGGCCGGCATTCGCCACGCCGGCTGAGCAGCAGAGATTAGGGGAGTCACTGCTGAGCGATGAGCGAGGCACGGAATGAGAAAGAGAGAGGGAGAGAGAGAGAGTGAGGGAGAGAGAGAGAGTGAGTGAGAGAGAGACAGGGAGAGAGAGAGTGAGGGATAGTGAAGGGACACAGGAGAGATAAGACGGGAAAGGAGGGCCTGCGAGAGGAGCGGAGAGCCAGTTCGTATGACTTCAGACACAGGTTTCTGTTTCCTTTTTCACAAGTGGCGTGTAACACCAGGTCCTTCCAACCACAGTGAAAATGCAACAGTGATGACAGACTTGGCACAGCTAATCACACTGACTCCTGGATAGGCGGGCTACGTCTGCGATCTGGCTGGGAGGGTAAAGGAAAAGGAAAAGGGAAGGAGGAATAAAAGTAGGAAGGGGAAGAAGGAAGGAATTGGACAGGAAGAGGGGAGCAGGAGGAACAGGAGCCAGTGGCAGGCAGGAGACGTTTTGCCTGCGCACATTTGACAAAAGGCCGGCAGTGACCGAGAGTGATGCAGACCTGTCACTATGTGTGAAGGACTTGGGTGGTGATGACCTGGCCAAAGCCACACGCCTCTATCAGTAAACTGGGACACAGCAGCGTCACGTAGATTGGGGGCAAAACAGGGACCCCCAATGGGGCAATGATGCAAGCTGATGGGCCACCGAGAGCTGGGGAGGAGAAAAGTTCGCTAGGTGGTGAAGCCTGTTTTTTTTGGTCCAATTGAGAGCCGGCATATGAAGACCCATAAACACTGAGCCCAGACAAGCATGCTGAGCCAGCGCCTTGGCGCCGTACAGCGAGTTATTAACGCGTTACTCGGAGACTGAGTCAACATGTTGTGTCCCCGCGACAGACGTGTTAGAGGACCGTCGGACAGACGCTGGGACGTGAAGCTGCGAGCGCACGCACACACCCCGCGGGAACACGCGCCGAGAGAGACGGCGCAGCGGCGGCCGAGGTCCGCGCAGCCGGAGACGCCCAGCGTGGGGAGGTGTGAATGTGTGTCAGATGGCACGGCGGGCAGGTTGGCGAAGGAGACGCTCCACCTGGGCCTGGGAGGGCTGGGCTTAGCTGGGTCACCCTCAGCCCCGTCCTGGGTATTGCCCCCCCCGCCCCCCATACACACACACACACACGCTAGTAAACGTGTGCAGCCATTCATCCTGCAAACAGCCATATCCTAAATAAACACAGGTGGCGCTACAGAGGCAGGGACTTTCAGACTTCTCTGTGCCTCTCGGTCCACCGCGATGGGCTGACAGGTGGACAGACAGCTTTTCCGGGCACGCCCGCATTCACGTGAAGAGAGGCGGG